ATATATATATATATATATATATATACATAAATTAGCATGAAACATGAAATGCATAGGATAATTAAGAGCAACAATAAAATACACAACTAAATATAGTAAGTCATAAAAAATATGCAAAAAATAATATACTATTGTACAATGTAAAAAAAGTTTGTAATTAAAAAAAAAATTTAAAAATGCTTTAGTTAAAACCTGTCAATTGGTCAACTGCAAGTTATCTTACCATATGCAGTGAAAACTTGCATTATATGTAATTTTATTGTAAAATTACAGTCAACTGTATGATTTTTGGAAGTAAAAACTATTAATTATCATATCATTTACGGTAAAAAAAAGAAACATTCCCTAAATGACATCACATATGACATTTTATTCAAACAGTTTTGTTTCTTGTTTTTTATGTATATTAATGTACAATAAGATGTGTTTGTGTTACATTTATGTTATGTAAGTGTTTCGGAATAATTCACCCACAAATGAAAATTACACCATGATTTACTAGGTGTATATGACTTTCTTCTTTCAAAAGAAGTTATATAAAAAAATGTCCTGGCTCTTCCAAGCTTTATAATGGCAGTGAATGGGGGTTGAGATTTTGATGCCCAAAAAAAGTGCATAAATCCATCATAAAAAGTTCTCCACATAGCACTAGGGGGTTAATAAAAGCCTTCTGAAGTGAAACGATGCATTTGTGTACGAAAAAATATCCATATTTAAAACTTTATAAACCATAATCTATAGCTTCTGCTAACTGTCGTACACGCGTATTAACACCTGGGGTCGTGTGGACAACTTTTTATGATAGATGGATGCACTTTTTGGGCTTCAAAATCTCACCCCTATTCACTGCCATTACAAAGCTTGGAAGAGCCAGAACATTTTATAATATAACTCCGATTGTATTAGTCTGAAAGAAGAAAGTCCGCTCTCCTCCACATCACGAGTAAACATGCCCCTTATTGCTGATTGGCTACAAGTTTGTTTTGCGATTCGGCCCGAATCAGTTTTCTAAAGTGTTTTTGAAAAATCACTTACTCTGCCTTTAATGCATTATCTTAGTGTTGTTATTTAAGTGTGTTCCCCAGATGGTGTTTTGTCTTTTTGTGTATGTTTTATGGACAGGCCACTTAGAATTAATTCATTTTTCTATTTCACCACCTGTATTATTATGGTGAATTTTCTCCATAGTTCAGTTTCCATAATTGATTTGGCTATTTTCCTGTTTAGCACTGTGAAGCTGCTTTGACACAGTCTGTATTGTATATAAAGCACTGCGGGAGCGCTAAAGGTGACTTACCTAGTACTTAGCCAAGAATTTGATTAAACAATGTGATTTTAATTTAATTTCTGAAAGAACTGACTTGAAAGAATTGAGCTGATGCTTACTTCCTGAGCCTGACAGTCTGTGCTCTACTGATTCATTCTTCTGATAGACACAAGTGCCATTATGTGTATTGGGCAAAGCCAATGAGTCAAAATGAGGAGCAGACAACACTATTTTTGGCACCTTCTCTTCCTGAGTGGTTACCGATCTGAAGTGATAGACTGCAGTTAGAACTCATGTACTCATGCTGATAAAATAAACGCACCTCGACTTGGAGTCAAATAGTACAATGTGAAATACCATGTGAAAATTAGTGTTGTCAAACGATTAATCACGATTAATCGCATCCAAAATAAAAGTTTTTGTTTACATAATATATGTGTGTGTACTGTGTATATTTATTATGTATATATAAATACACACATGCATGTATATATTTAAGAAAAATGTTATGTTTATATATTTAAAATATTTATATATAGTTATATGAATATAAATATATACATGGAAATGCATGGAAATATTTTCTATATATATACTGTATGTGTGTGTATTTATATATACATAATAAATATACACAGTATAAACACATATATTATGTAAACAAAAACTTTTATTTTGAATGCAATTAATCGTGATTAATCGTTTGACAGCACTAGTGAAAATATATCAAATCGGAGTCAAACCAAACCTGTGTGCCTGTACGCCAATGAACCTGAGAGCATGGTTTAATTTTTGATGTGCCACAGTGCGTGTTTTGCAGTTCTTTTACCTGTGCTCGAAGCTTCTGTTTCTCTGCCTCCACTGCACTCAGGTGCCCTGACAAAGCCATCATCACCTGCGCCGATCGATAAAAGAAAGAGAGTGAAAGTAGCCATGGTGTTACTATGGTTACAAGCAAATTTATTCAAAAAACAATCACCATTTCATCCCACTTTGGAAGCATTTCCACACTGCACCTGTGCTTCGCTGAGGCCCAGCTCCAGCATCTCCATAGAGCGCTGGATCATGGCTGTCTTCTCCTCAACAGCACGACCCTCCTGGCTCTGTTTGAGGCAGCGCAAGGTCCCCATCAGCCCCTCTAGGATGACCTGATGTTCTGCACGGAGCGCCTCCAGCCCCTGCATGACCTCCCGTGTCCGACATAGCAGCTCGTCCTGGGACAGCTTCTCTTCGGGGTCCCCCTGCCCGTCCGTCTCCTTCACGCACACCACGCTCGACATGTCCTCACGCATCCTAAAGAGATATACACAATACAAGAATGAGAACAGAAGTCTGGGAACTGTTCCTGTTCAGATGAGTGTGTTTGTATAATTGATCAGACATGAAAAGACACTGAAGGCAATTAAATTAGAGTCGTCACTTCCTTGTTCTTGTGCCTTGAAACCCTTAAGGAATAACTCAAGTCACTGTAAATGGGAAGTGGCAAAGAAAAGTCAGCAAACATCTCTTGGCAAAAGAATGAATTCCCTACCAACTTCCATAAAACACCATGGGAACTGGACCCAGAATGCACTGTAGAGGTTACATGACCAACAGAACCAAACATTTCCTCAAACTGAGTTTTATTTGGTTTTAATCCAGCTTAAGCGTCTGTCACAGAGACAAACATCTACATTGCCTTCAAGAACTTATATAACAGGACTAGGAACCTATAGAAATGGCTTGCATGTAGTAAATCAGCTTAACTTACTTCCAAAGCTTTAAACAATGACTGTTTCACTTAACAGTTTTAAAGTTGAGACAACGGACATCAGCTAGAGCAAGATGTTAGCTCAGATTTAACCAAATTAGTTGATGGACTACATAGATAATCAAATTTTCCAGAGAGTGGTGCTTGCATTGGCAAAACACATTGATGCAATGCTATGGTGCTGGCTGCCAGGGCATTACTATGCAGTTGCTAAGACATTTTAACATGTGCTATGTGGCTATTAAGGTGTTTTTTTAAATGGTTGCTTACTGGTCCAACATTAGTGATATTCTGGTCTCTAGCTAGGCTCAGATCTCTTCTGCTTGTTTTAAAGCCTCAAGTATACTTCACTTGAGCACATTAAGCCCAAAGTATACTTCAGTTTTGATGCGAATGTTTAAGCGTATGCCTACAGCCAATAGAGTGGAATGTGGAAAATAAGTGTGTTCTGCACTGTTGGGCAATAGATGGACCCCTGTCGATAGCTTTTCGACTGAATGAGCGTGTTGAATTGGCAGCACAGCCCTGCTACAGATTCGGTGTGCAAGGTACTATATTTTTTCAAAAATTAGATTAAAAATCACATTGACTTATTTATGTTTACTTCCTGTACCTGACCATTCCTGTCCCGTACCTCAAAACCATGAGTCAAAATTTGAAGTGTAGCTTACAACGCTTCCCATTTTTGGCACATATTCTCTTCCTAAGTGGTTACCTATCAGAAGTAGTAAACTGTCGTTAATACTCATGATAGAACTCATGTTGATAAAAAAATGCCAAATAATACAATGTTAAAATACATCAAATGGGAGCCAAGGAGATGGAATCGAGTTAAAATTTTGGAGTATCACACCAAAGCTGTGTGCCTAGGTTACAGGCACAGATCCCTTCTTCATTTGTCTATGGGATTTTTTGCTTGTTTGAAAGTATACATCACTTGAGTAAATTAAGCCAAAAGTATACTTTAGTTTTGATGTGAACACCTAGCGTATACCTACAGCTAGAGTTAAACATCCACTAGTGTGCTCTGCACCACTGGCACTAGATGGACCCCACTCTGTACCTTTTCGGCTGGTTAAGCATGTGGAATTGGTGACATAGACCATCGAGACAGAGATCACTGATTGGCAGTTCAGCTAAGCGAATCGGTGTACGAAAAGAAAAAACGGAAATGACCAAAATAAGAAAACGCCCTCTAAGTCAAGAGGGTACTCACAGTTGCTTGGATTTGGGTCCACCTTTCAGTTTCCCTTTTTGAATGACAACTATAGACTACTGCCACCTTCTGGTATGGAGAGTTATTTCCACTCACACAGGTGCAAAACACACATTGGCCGTGTCTTTGCAGTTGTGTTCAAGCAGAACATTTCAACTTAGACGCAGGCGATTTGAAGCAGCACCACAGTAGGCATCCATTGTCGCTAGTTCTTTAAAATCGGTTTGGTTTGTCTGGGCCTTTAACATTCACCAGTTGAAATCATAAGGGTTATCTCTAAGGAAAGTAACAGCGGACTACATAACTTGAGGAATCATTCAAAATCGTAGCACAAACAGTGCATGCTGAGTTACACATCAACGTTTAATACTTTCTGTCTTAAGTATAAGCAATAGTAGTGATGCTTGTTTTCGCAAACACAATGAACATTAAATTCTAAACTAAAAGACAAAAAGTAACTTCACTTAGAGGTGCAAAAACAATGCAAGAATTTAAAAGGCTCCTCGCTCTTCCCAGCCTGACACAAGGACACAAAGCAGCTGTCTTTGTTGTTGCCAAGACACTACTCACCTGGTAAGGCAGATCAGGGTTGCTAAGGCAGTGTGTGAGGCACGTTAGCGCACTGGGAGTTGCAAGAACCCAAAGAGCAAAAAAAGAGAACCTGAGATTGTTGCCCTTTCAAACGCAATACCTCCAGACTACAGCGAAGATGCTGGGAAAACCCATTCACTGGAAATAAACACGTCTCCACAGATTTCTTTTCTCTTGTGAAAACAAGCGTACAATCTCCTCCCTGCCATGCTGATGTAAAGAAGAGGTGGGTCTATGTGCTGCTCCTGAGCTTTAGGCTTGTGCTGTATTCCGGTGGGAGGGGAAATGGGAAGTAAGACGGCAGAGATTCATGTGACCCATAAAGCAACTCGTCGTCTGGCATGTGACAACCACTGAGCAGGAAACACCCATGCATGATGGGAATCAAAGTACTGATGAATCTGCTGCAGAGATTGTTCAGAACAAATAAATTTTCATTGCTCTTTTCCAACAAGGACCACCCACTCAGACCCACTGAATATCTAACAATGTTAGATTTTCTTGGTAACAATATATATTAATTTATTTCTAATAATAACAAACATATTACATTTGGCTATTGTCAACAGAATTATTACTTTTTTTTGTAGAAAAGGAATGCACTGATATTAATTCCAGCTGATACCAATAAATTATTTTCATGTCTTGACTGATAACCAATAAACTATAGATATTAAAATTGTAAACTATTTTGTTAAGAATATACAGTAAATTAAGAATAAAACACAAAACTAAAATCTATTACAAGTGAATGCACATGTATAGTATGAAAATGGATATTCAATTTGAGACAAGCTAAATATTATGTTTAAGGTTGTTAATTAAATTATTAGCGTTTTTAAAGATTGTGACTAGGGCTGTAAAATCGATATTTATATATGATTTATATTATATAAAAATATATGTTACATATATTTCTTAAATATATACACATGTCTGTGTGTGTATTTATATATACATATAAATAAATATTCAGAATACACATATATTATGTAAACCCAAACTTTTATTTTGGATGCAATAAATCGCGATTTATCTATTTTACGTCCCTAATTGTGACCTAGTATAAGATGATGGCAAATGTAATTAAATGTTAAAAAAAAATAAGAGTGCACAATTAAATATATAATTATGCAATTAACCGATGCGGATAAAAAAAACTCTAATATTGGTAAATATTAGGGCTGTGCAATTAATCGCATGCGATTGCCATGCGCATCTCGTCAGTAAAGCCGGTTCCGTGATTAGTAGTAAATCTCCATCACCTGCTTTCAGATGGAGTGGCATTTACTACACAGAGTCGTAGTTCACTGACAATTAGGCAATATTATGAACGCGATATTGCCTAGCTTATCAGTGAACTATGGCTCTGTGTATTAAATGCCGCTCCATCTGAAAGCAGGTGATGGAGATTTACTACTAATCACGGAACCGGCTTTACTGACGAGATGCGCTTGACAATCACATGTGATTAATTGCACAGCCCTAGTAGATATAACTATATGGTACCGATATGGTATCATGCATCTCTACTTTTCAGAGTAAAAAATAGGGGTGCTCCGATTGATCGGCTCGTGGAGGTAGGAAAACAAAGTTCTTTATGAACCGCAGGATTGCTTGTAATAAAGATTTAAATGCAAAAGAAAAAGCAGTAGAGCTGACTATTTCTGTCAATGGTAAGTTTGTGATACTGAAAAAGCATTTTCAGTGAAAATGTTTGGATTTGAAATCAAAATTATGGATAAATGTTGTTTGTGGTAAACAGCCACGGATCAGTTGCAGACTTGTTGTGACACAAGTGTCACCTAAAACCTGTGTTATACTTTCCGCATGAGCAATCCGGACGCGTACACGGACAGCGCGGACGCGGACTACTTGCAATTATACTACCGAAACTGTCCGCTCCGCGGACGTGTTCCATACATACGTAGTAGATCGGCTTGAACAATAAACAAACATGTGAACAAAGAATTGCCCAGAGTTATTGCACATCTGGCTGTCTTTATATTGTTTTATCGACGGATTGTACAGGTTTGAGTAGCAATGGGCTTCTTCACACAGCCTGCGCATGCGCAGTAGCCTACTGACCTTACGGACAAGTACGCGCGGTCACAAAAAAATGGGAGGCATGCAGATGTCCGCTCAGAGCCTCCGCGCACACTCTCCGATGACGATTTTTACGTCCCGCGCACCATAGCGGACACTAGCGGACTCGCGGGGACGCGGAAAGTATAACACAGGATCGGCAGATACTGCTTTCTGTGATCGGCCTCAAAAATCCTGATCGGAGCACCCCTAGTAAAAAAGTAAGCATTTAAACTTATTTAACCAACTTTTAGCCCATTTACTAAAGTTGAGATGGGGTTATGTAACCTAACATGAAAACGGACTCATTATATTACAGTTTACATGTAAAAATTGACTAATAAACCTAACAATCTCCTTGTCCTGGTTCTGCATAACGATTTGTGTTTTCAGATGAATTAAAGAACAAAGGCAGCAGGAGGACAGAGGAAGGGCACAGGAAAGATGAGCAAATGCACGGCAGGGATGGAGATGCAGATTTCATGCTGTTGTTTGAAGTGTAAATGTGTTTCAGTGCTTTGTGCTGGGGTTACGCTATCCCTGTTCTTCAAAGCGCACAGAATACACTAAATATAACTATATATCATAAGGTAAAAGGATAATCTCATCAGCATTAAATAATACTAATGAACACATAGAGGACAGACAAAG